CAAAGCCAGAGAGAGCGAGCCTGGTGGACTGGCCAACCAGAGACTTCCGGGAGAGGAGAAATTCGAGATGTGCTTCGACCAATCCGGGAGGACCTGGATGCCTGCAGTGGACAGAGAGATGGCCTGTCCGAGCAGCCGCAGGAAGGCAACACTCCCCTGGACTCCGCGTCCGCCTTGCTTTAGGAGCAGTAAGTCATTTTCTTCAGACTCAGTTTCTCCAGGTATGAAATGGACAGCGCTCTCCGCTTCCTGTGAGCACCCCAGCGCGGTGCCGAGACAGCCGCGCAAGCTGAGCTGAGAGCAGTCACAGCTGTGTGCCGCCCACAGGTGCACAGCAGGCCAGGGCCCCAGCATCTCACCTGTGCAGCTGCCACAGCTCCTCCCCTCCAAGCCTGTCCTCAGGACAGCGGCCAGTTTAGAGGGGTCTCTCCCCTTCACCGGTTCCCACTGAACGCACCTGCCCTGCAGGACCTGCAAGGCCCCCTCACCACCCTCCAGCCCCTTGTTGTGGTCGTTTCTCAGAGCTGGGGTCACAGCCTGGAGTCTCCTGGATGCTAGGCTGGCGGCGCTCTGCGGCGGAGCCACAGGCCTCTTTCCGCACCTTCAACAGGCCAAGCGCTTTCTTGCTCAGGCGTTTGGTCCCACCAATCCTTCACCCTGGGATCTTCTCTACATACACACACATGCATACATACATACATGCATGTGTGTGTGCATGCACGCACGCATACAACACGCCTTGCCAATGAGTATGAGCATGTGCGTTTTGTTCAGCCCGCCCGCCTACAGCGCACCTATGCGAGTGAGGCTGAGTCCACTCACAGCTGTCCTATGACAACAGCTTTTAGCCCTTTCTTCAGCTGACAAGTCACTTGGGACCACTGAGTTGCAGGGAGGGAGCAGCTAAGCTGGATTCTGAACCCAGTCAGCTCAAAACAAGCTGCTTGGAAAACCATGAGAGGCTGCTAGGAACAGTGTTGGTCCTGGGGACACCCCAAGTGTGCATACAATCACACACACACACGTGCACACACACAGAGGCTGAAAAGGCGCTGGCTGCTGCCCACCCTTCCCCAAAAAGGGAGACAGTTTTTTCCGGCCAGATTCCCACCCTTCCCCAACCTGGGCCTGCAGATACGGCCCGCCTGATGCCCCCGCCCCAGTGACGGAACAGGTGCCTCCCTCTCTGCCCCATGACAATGTTTCCCTCCCCAAGCGGGACTGGAGACCCCAGCCTGGCCCTTAGGGCTGTGCCCTGCAGCAGCCGGCAGTACATGGGAACAACAGGAACACAAGAGCAAGCTGTAGCCAGGAATCTAGTAAGCAAAAGGGCCCACAGGAGGCTTACGGAAGGGAGGAGTGCAGAGAGGAATTCAAAGAGACTCTGCATTTTAAAACAACCTAGTACAATGATGAACCCAATAGAAATGGGCAGGATTTTGACAAAGAAAACTATAAAACTTCACTGAAGACCAAAAAAGAAGACCTGTATAAAAGCAGGCAAAAACCCTCACCGTGGACAGAACAGTCCAATCGAATAAATAATGCCTGTTCTCAGCCAAATTTACATATCCTCTCAGGGTACTCTCAGCCAAACTCCCAAGACAAATTTTTTTTTTTTTTTTTGGCAGTACCAGAGACCGCTCAGGACCTGCACGCTGGGTTACATCCCCAGCCCTTTTTTGTTTTTCTTTTTGAGACAGAGTCTCACTAAGCTGCCTGAAC